CCAGAGATAATTAGATCTGATCAATTTCCAGTCGATTGCTATTAAATGACCGGGAGCTATTAATTTCCGGTCATTTAATAGCAATCGACTGGAAATTGATCAGATCTAATTATCTCTGGTGAATTTTGCATCAGTCGACAGCTAAGAGTCAGATCTAACAATCTATGCAAAACCGGTCAAAAATGACTTAGCTATGAGCAAAACACTGAAAAACTTTTTGCACGCATAACGGGAAAATTTATACATAATTTTTAACATTTAACAAACATTTTATTTTTCTTCCAGATTGCTCAGAAGTACAATTTATTGATTATCGAAGATGATCCCTACTTTTATCTTCAATTTAATGTAAATATTATTTACTAATATTAGTTTTTGATAGTGCATCTATTTTTTGATAATTTTCAGGAATTGTTACCATCGTTTCTCTCAATGGATGTAGATGGACGGGTTATTCGTTTAGATTCAATGTCAAAGGTGCTTTCAGCTGGGTACATCTATTTTGAAACATTAATTTTTTAATACACACATACTCATTGCTCACTCTACACATCAGGATGCGTGTTGGATTGGTCACAGCACCAAAACAATTATTACAAAAAATTGTTTTTCATCAGCAAGTGACAAGTATGCATGCATCCTCATTATCACAAGTAAATAATTATAGTTTCTGTTGATATAACTAAATAATTTTATAATTTTTTTTTAAATCTATTTTCTAGATATTGATACTAAAATTAATGGACAAATGGGATTTAAACGGATTTCAAAATCATATTGACAAGTAAGCACTATTTGAATTGAAATAGCTCGATTATTAATGAGTAGGCTCTGATCATGAGTAGGGTTATATTTGAAGGAATTTTTATGGGGCTCTTTTTGTAGTCAGTTTCACGCAATCTAAAAACATATTTTTGATTTTAATTTTGAGCACATCGTGTAGATAGATACTTAATTGTATATTTACCCACTCAGAACAGATCTTGGCTACCATATCACTACTAAAAAAACGAACAATTAAATATTTGCACCAGGAGCAAAACAAAGGTGTCATTTCGCTACGAAACAGAAACATAACATAAACTCTTTTTTTATTTGATCTAAACGAGTACGAACAAAACCAAATAGATCTTTCGAAAGCTACATCATCGTGACACAACTTTTCTATGACTAAATCATTTCTTGAGATGTTTTATTTAAATAATTTTACAAAGTTTAGAGAGTTGATAAAATAAATTTTTATGGTCTCTATTTCACCTAAAACTTTTAATCAACAAAAATAAACAAGCTCAAAACTTTTTCGGTAATCGAACTTCATAGAAGGCACAAATTATACAAATTTATGTTTTATTGGTTGGACGGATAAGATGATACAAGATTTGTATTAAGTCAAAAATCTGTAATTTTCGTATGTTTGGCCAAACCATTGTTACTTCTATGTCATATGTGTTTGTAGAGTCCGCACATTTTATGCGAACCAAAAAACTGCTATGGTCAAGGCAATTCGAGAACATTTAAAGGGTGCGATATATTATTGAGTATTCAAGAATAACTCAATCATAAGTTTTTTTAGATATGGTAACGTTTGATGAACCAGTATGTGGTATGTTTATTTGGTTGAAACTAAATGGTGTCAAAGACACCAGAAAATTAATATTAGAAAAAGCCGTTAAACAAGAGGTATGCAATACTTCGTAGTCTTAATACTGCAGAACCTTATCCGATTTCAAAAGTAGTGCGCACTTTTTAGTCACAAGTAGGATCATTGTGACCAAAAAGTTGTAGAGCACACAACGAAGAATTTAATGCTATATTGGGGTTTGATTTAGTACCTTTTGATTACTGAAATCAAGAGTCACAATGATCCTTAATCTTTCTGCTATATATAGTTTTGTATTGAATTCTGAACAAAACGTACTATTTAGATTTCTTTTTTCGCAAAAAGGAAAAGTTAAAGATAGAGCTCACACTCACGCAGTTTCTCATAAAATTAGAATTTCGTTCTCCATGTGATTCAGTTTTAACAGGTGTTTTATTATTTGCATGTGAAATAGATGTGATCGATTTTTTTCGTAAATCACCCATTTCTTTTCCAGGAAGTAGGATCGAAACGGATGGAAAATAATAATTTTATAAAGAGTTTATCACTCTACAAAACCTATGGGTAGAAGAAAATTCTACGATGCGTCCTAATTATACACGAACTCTTATTCTTATAGTATATAGCAGAAAGATTAAGGATCATTGTGACTCTTGATTTCAGTAATCAAAAGGTACTAAATCAAACCCCAATATAGCATTAAATTCCTCGTTGTGCGCTCTACAACTTTTTGGTTCCCACTACTTTTGAAATCCGACAGGATCTTTTATGAAAAACGTTTTAGGTGTTGTTGCTACCCGGATCTTCATTTTTTTATGATCAATCAAAATCTTACCCATTTGTTCGTACAAGTTACTCTTTGTCAAATTCTGAACAAATGGATGTTGTAAGTTGATTGTTCAAGGTAAGATTGAGAACAATCAATGTAGATTTTCTTTTCTCATAGGGTATGGCGAGATTTGCAAAATTATTGCGAACTGAAATTGATGAACAACAACAATTGGTAAGAAAACTCTTACGAGGGAACCTCCCGCGGTGATAAATCGCTTTTTTATCGAAATCTAGTAAGTTATAGGTTATCGACGATGCTGATTCCGAATATGACCATGGGAGTTCCCTATAGCTCTTTGAAGATCCTGTCTTCTGGAAAACCAGTTTTTGAGAAACTTCAAAAGATAACCAAAATCTTTCTTAACAATGCACGATTGTAGTGCGCACATTTCTGATCAAAATGAGACATCCCCTAGCTCTACACAATCTTTCTTTGCAAAGTTATAGAATTTATAAGAAGAGCCTCAAATTAATTTTTTCCTTCTTATTTCTGTAGGTTTGAGCTGACAACGAACAATTTAGGGCTCTTCTTGTAAATTCTATAACTTTGCAAAGAAAGGTCGTGTAGAGCTAGGGGATGTCTCATTTTGATCAGAAATGTGTGCACTACAATCGTGCATTGTTAAGAAAGATTTTGGTTATCTTTTGAAGTTTTTCAAAAACTGATTTTCCAGAAAACAGGATCTTCAAAGAGCTATAGAGAACTCCCATGGTCATATTCGGAATCAGCATCGTCGATAACCTATAACTTACTAGATTTCGATAAAAAAGCAATTTATCACCTCGAGAGGTTTCCTCGTTAGTGTTTTAGTGAAAAGTGTGTATATTTCATTTTTCTATTTTTAAATAGACTGAAAAAGTTGCTGAATAAAAGTTTACAATTGGATATACAATTCAAAGTGAATAAGAATTAGCTAATCAGTCAGTTAGTCTTCATTCTATTTTCCATTTCATTTTTTTATTATTTATAGATGCAACAACAGTGACTTATTTTAGAAAAATGTTCTTTTTCTATATTAAATAAAATAAAAAGCATAGCCTATAGCTTTGTGAGAATGACAAGTGAGAACCTATAGAATACTATCATTCGTTGATTTGAACATGTTTTTTGATCATAATGAATATTTGTTGCTGGTTTTTAATGAGTGTACATCATAACAAATGAGGAAGACGCGTTAATCTCGAAAAATAATACAAAAAAACCAAAGAAAAAAAAATCCGAGATTTTGATTTTTCATTTAACTATATTAAAAGAAAAGAAAATGAAAATAAAACAAAGTAAAATATTTCACAAAAAAACAATATCACACTGAAAATGAAAAATATAAAACAAGACTATTTATCATAGTCTAGAAAAGCACAAAAAAAAAAAATAAAAGATCTAAAAAAAACAAGAAATAAAGACACTGGATTAATTTATTGAACGACTAGTGGAATGAGGAGATCAATGATTTTAATTCAAAATAATTGAGGTATTTTGTATTATTTTGTTTTACTTTGAATGAGAGGATTGATTTTGTCTCATAACAATTATCAATAATTTACCATTATATCATATTTTCATTGTAAACGAATTAGTATCATCTTGATCGTATAATAAACTACTCATGCGAACATGAGATATTTTTTGTATACCACCACCATTTGGTACCAAATGATCTAATTCGCTATCATATTGATCTATTGAATAATTATTATGATTATAATTATTTTTTGAATGTTCACCCATTATTTGCATTTTATATGAATTTATTTTATTATTATCATCGTTTGTTTGATTGTTTATAGACGATGAATATATTAAACCGTTTGTTAAACGATATGGTGGTATTACGCTAGCTTGACGTGACTGAGCAAATGGTGGTGTATATTTTGATGTCATGGAATAATTGGATTTTGTTAATGATGTTCGAACTTTTGATGAATGATCAGCATTTATTAATAATGGAAAACATCGACAATTATGATTATAATGGAGAATTTCAAAAAATGCATTACGAAAGTCTCTAAATAAAAAAAGAAAAGAAAGAAAAAATAATTAAACAAGAACTGGAAGAAGTTTTGAAATACGTCAGAAATAGCATTTTTTTTTTTTATTTATTTATTTTTTTTTATTGTAAATTGTAGACTCAGTTTTTATTGAGATCTATTTTATCTTTCATGGACAAAATGTCATGCTATTCGTATAGAATAATCGAAATAAGTAGAAACAGATGAAATGATGTTTATATAAAGAAATATAGCACTCAAAGGCATAGAATAGTCTCATTGATCAAATTAATAATAAAATGTCAAAATAACTTTTACTGTCGTTCTACTCAGTCTATTTTCTTTTTGTTTATGTACATTAATGATTAATAATAGTGCAAAATTCTAATTGTACTCATTTTTAGATAGAACGAGACAACACAAATGTGTATAGTAACAAATTAAGTCTCTTATGTTCTTCAAATGAAGACAATTAAATTAGTTAAAGTACACAACAACAACAAAAAAAAAAAGGAGAAAAGAAAGAAATAATAATAATAATACTAATAATAACAAGTCGATTGACAATACGTCTATCATTATTATACGTCTGTCATTAATAAAAAAAGTTTACACCTGTTTAGATAATAATAATTAGGATGGTCACCCGCAAGGATAACTGTGATACATACTTGTTTGAAAAAGCATAAATAACAGGATTACAAAAACTATTCGCATATCCAATCCATGTAATAAGATGTTCGACAAATGGCGTAATACATTCATAATCACAATAGGCTAAACGAAGATACATAATAAAAAATGGTAGCCAACAAATGATAAATACTCCGACAACGATGCCTATAAAAATAATTCAAAATATATTTAAAATAATATAATTAAAATTTATATAAAAAAAACAAAAAACAAAAAAACAAAAATAAATAAATAAATAAAAATAATTAATTTAGATACCTAACGTTCTTATCGCTTTTGCATCTCGTTTCCATTTTGAACTTTCTAAAACAAATTGTTCATTACTATGTAAACGTTTAATAATATTTTCTAATTTTTGTAATTCTAATGAATGTTTACGAGCGGTTATAAATATTCTTGCATAAAGAGCAAGAATAATAATTAATGGAATATAAAATGATGTTAATGAAGATATAATAGAATATATTCGATTTGGACGCATTCCACATTCAGATTTATCTTGTAAATATTCTTGAGCATTGCCAAAAGAATATAGACCGAGCATTACCGGTCCATAAGATAGTAGAACACTAATGAGCCATATACAACCAATTATTATAAATATTGTACGACTAGTCATTTTTTGTTTATATCTTAATGGATTTTCAATGGCAACAAAACGATCGATACTAACGGCAACTAAATAAAAAAAAATAAAAAATAAAACAGAATAGAAAAAAATGACTATTTATTATATGACACTTTGTGTAAAATTGAATTTAAGAGTATTATTTAATAGAATAAAACTAACTAAATATTTTCATATTACAAACCTAGATGTAGAATGGATGCTGTACAAAATGTAATATCATTTGATACCCAAATTTTACAAAATATGGCACCAAATATCCATTTTTGTTTAATATTATAGACAAGTCCTGGTATCATAACTGTTGTTGTTACTAATAAATCAGCAATAGCCAAACTCATTAAAATATAATTTGTTGGATGACGTAAACGTTGTACGCGACATATGGCTGTAACAACAATAACATTACCCAATATACTTAAAACAATAATAATGCCATAAACCTAAAAATTTGTTTTAATCGTCCAATAAAATAGTTATTTTCAAAAAACATACCATGGTGTTATAATACGTACAAGAATACCAATAATAAGTTCTCGAACTTTCGTTTGTCGTAACATAATGTCTACTGGTAATAGATTACTGGTATTGTTGGAATTCAACACGTTGACATATGTACTTTGATAGTTAGTAGTCATCTTTTAATGTGTTTGTCACACTATAAATGACAAACAGATAGAACAAATTTTTTTATTGAAATGAAATATACTTTAGACGAATGATAAACAGCTGTAGGCAATTTTTTTTTTTTTTATAAATGAGATAATGAATTAAAACCTTACTATATAACAACATAATCGTTTAATCTAGACATTTTGAGATCTTAGATATTTAACATTTTACTAGTATTACCTCAAATTAACTTCGAAAAATTGATTTATAATCTTATTTAATTAATCAGAAGACGTCAAATAACTCTGTTGATCTTCATTCTATTTCATCTTTACTAGAATATAATGTAAAAAATGAAGAAAAAAAGGAGAATATATATCAATATCATTAGCTAAAATGATTGAGAATAAATGAATTAGTTAAAAACGTGACTACCATTTGGAAAGTGAAGTAAAACTGTCATTCTTAGAAAAAGTTATAATTAACTCATACGCCTTACATATGTCAATATTATCAAAAATTAATCATGAATCATCATCATTTCGTTCTTTCTAATCTTTTACCTTTTTTTTCATCATTCCATTTGATGATTTATTCGTTTTTCCCAAAATTCCATTGCAGTTGATAATTATCTATTAATTTACCAATTTATCAGCATGTAAAATAAAATGAACATTGAAAAACAAAAACAAAAAACAAAGATTCTCATATGCCTCCTATATCTTTAAGTATGATGATTTTTGATACAATAGTTGGCTTTTTTCCTTATTCGAGATATGAAAGACGATATCAAATTTATTTATTGTGATTAAATTCCATTTGTATAGGAATTTGAGATATACTTCGAATATATAACTGGTTGTGATTAATAGACGTTTGATCATAAAAAAAGAAAAAAAAAAATGAACGAACGAATAAAAGAATTAAGAATGAAAAACGACTATTACTGTGTGTGCTATTGTTTTTATATATATATTTTTCTTCTTCTAACATAAAAAAAAAGAAAATCAATTTATTAATATACATATGTATCAAATACAGGTATACATAGGATATATAGGAGAAATTTGATGATATCAAAAAAAAAAGAAGAAGTTGATGTAAAACAGCACAACAGATTCTCTTTTTTCTCTCTTCTGCTCTAATTATTATTATTATTATTATTACAGACATATGAGAGATAATAGCAAAAACAAGTCATCTTATGCAAGTCATAACTACACATACACACGCAGAATATCAATTTAAAAAATACCAAACGTTAATAATTCCATAATCATATTCATTAATAAAAGAATTTAAGGGCATAAAAGTCGAAATCAGATATTTTACATAAATCTATGAATAAGATTTTAATGATTTGGCTAAAGTGTCAATTTTTAGTGCATTTGTTATTGTTAAGAAAATATATTTTACTTTATTAACGTCTTACTTAGTAAATATTGTCTTGTCGACAATATGAAAAGTATAAATTTATTTTGTTTTGAAACAATTGAACTGGAAAGTCAATTGATAAATGAGAAACATTTTTTTTCGCAAAAAACTAGCAATAATTTTTAAAAAAACTAAAAAGAAATGTAACCAAAATGAACATAACTTATTTTTCAATCAATCTAAGAGAAATTTGCTGAATAGTATCATATCGAATATATAGCAGAATGATGAATTAATAAACTATTATTTTATATGACTTTTAAACATGTAATATCCTATCTATCGGTTCTTTTTTTCATTTATTGCATGTGATACCGATAAAATACTGTTAATCACTAGAAAAACTAAGTTAAAGAACCTTCGTCAAAAAAAATAACATTTTTGTTATATGTCCAATTTTGATGAATCATTCAGAGCTTACTAATCATCATTCAACCAAACTAGGTTATACTGAAAACTTCAGCTCGAACGACTGGAGGGGTGCCAAGTTATAGGGATCTCAAAGAGTACAAAAGACTAAACTAATCTAAAAAGGATTCCCAGTAGAATTGCTCCTCCTAGGCGGTTTATCGTAGGATCTTAATTTTCTTTTTGTTTAGTAGCATACCTAAAAAATTTTCCATGGCGATTCGAAATTCGTTTCCATTCATTTTCTACACGCATTTTAAGTCAAAATTCCGAAATTCGTATTAGTGTAGTAATCTTCAATTTTTTCGGCTCAGAATAAGAATTTCAGAAATCGCCACGGACAGTTTTTAGATAAAGGTCGTAACTGCAAAACAAAAAAATTAAAGTTCTGTGATGAACCATCTAGGACGAGTACTAATTTTGCTCTACGAAATCCCTATTTTGAGAACAACACCATCAGTTTTAACTAGGGCGGATGGTTTAGGGCGTTCACGGGAATTTGCATAACTTGAGAAGGGAAGATCGTACACAGCTACGAGACGTCTCATTTTATCAGAACTTCCGGCTCAGAAATACCGATTTTCTGAGGGAGGGTTCTCTTTAAAGATCATTTAATCAGCAACGACAGAAAAAAATGGTTCAGAAACAAGTTCTCCATGATAGAGAGATGATAATTTAAGCATCTCTCTTTTCTTTTTTTGGATTATGCGATCTTTATTACTACGGTCTGCTGGGCTTGCAAAATAAATAGATAGACATATACATCCACAACACAAAATAGAAGAACCTAGTATACAAAAAAACAAAAAAGATAATACTTTTAGAAAACATTCTAAACCTGTACATGAACATAGATTGAGCATCTCTATTGAATAAATCAGTGAATTTCAAGTTATCTCAAACGCTGACTTAGTATTTCTAACGTATCAACATTAAAAGGTGAATGACAAGATGAAATGATGATCGACTAGGGGTGGGACAGTTCCAGTTCAGTTCTTTTCAAAAGAACGGGAACTAGTACCAGTTCTTTTCAAAAAATTAAAATTGAAATAAATCGGTGAACCTACTTACATTGACTTTGTGTAGTGCGCCAGAGGTAGATGATGTGTTTAGTTGGCTAAACCGAGTCAATATAACTAGCTACATCTGTTTTATTTTATTTTGAATTCTTGATAAAAAATTGTAACCAGTTCCCGTTCAACGGTAACTGAACTGGTGACCAGTTCTTAAGAACTATAGGAACGGGAACTGTCCCACCCTATGGTCGACCACGTAAATATTTTCTTATTTATGCGTATTCACTGTAATAATAAAATCATCTGCGCTTTTTCATTCATTAATCTCTATAACAGTGTGCTGTACCACTAACTGGGTGTATTAATCTGTTATTTCCTTTGTATGGAAAAAGACAAGAATTTTTTCTGCACGTTTTTTTTCTCCAGAATGTTGCACAGCGTTCATTTTTCTGCGCAGAAAAGAAATGGAAATCTGCATATTTTTTATGTAATGAAAGAGGAAAATCTTTCAAAGCAGATTACGCTATACGTTTAACCCTTTCAATCCGGATTTAATTTTCAGAAAAAATGAAATTTTTCAAATATAATCTTAAATGTGTCAACACCATTCAGTTCGACTCATCGAAATACCATGACGTACCTATATCATTCGGACTGAAAGCGTTAAATATAAGTGATGCGCATGCGTTAATTAGTATACATATAATAAAAAGTAGAGTATTAACAACATGATCACGATAATCATTCAAGAGAGTATCCGGGAGTATTCGTGGTTTTTCTCTTCCCCTTTTTGTCTCTACGTCAATTTTTCTCTGATTTTAATTGTGTTTTTACGGTAATGCATATTACCGGAACAAAAAAAATAAAGCTGGTTTTGAGTTGTTGAAAAGTGCTTTTTCGGGGTTAAACCCCGAATATTTTCTGTTTTTAGCGAGGGGTACTTCCAAATGCATAGGAAAAATTTTGAAACAAACTTGCGCAAAAAAATTTCCATGAGAAAATAATATTAGTTTGAAAATTTTTCTTCAGCATTTTGAAGTACCCCTCATCAAAAAATAGAAAATTTTCGGGGTTATCGAGTGTGCTGAACACGTGTTAAAAAACACTTTTCAGCAACTCAAAACCAACTTAATTTTTTTTCCGGTGATATGTTTCTTAGAAAACTCGATGATCAATATGACGCCATGTTAGAGCGAACACATTCCACTTCTCAGTTTTACGAAATTTCTATATGTGAGTGTTGAAAAACATTTTTCATACACGTCCTTCAAAACATGTGCAGTAGACCAGGTTTTTACTGTTAATCACGTTTAAACGTAGCAGGTCTAAAACTAGAAAATATATTTTCATTCACAAAATCAAATTTGGGTGAATAAAGACGCTAACAGATATTTCTCTTATTTTATCTTGAGATGAATGCTGAAAATTATTTTTATTACTTTTAACTAAGTTTTAAATATACAAAAACGTTTGTTTTATCCAATCTAGGTAAACATGAGCCACAAAAGTATCGAGCTTTATTGCATTATTTTGACAAAAACAGAGAAAAAAACGGTTGATATGTTTTATCTTCGAATTTTCTACAACTTTATCCGACTATGAAATATACAGGTTAACTAAACTTCTAGATCTCTAGTTTCCATTAACATCTTTGTCAATATACAGACCTAATTACACTAATGAAATTACTCACACTGAGTTATTTAACTGTTTCAAACAAAGACAAAGAAGGAAAGATAGAGAAGAAAGGAAATAAGAGAAACGTTACAGTTACCTCTTTATTAGAGCGTGAAGAAAAGAGAGGAAGAAATCAAAAAAATGTGCAATGAAGAGGCAAATGAAAAGGTTATATTTATTAAGAGCATTGGAAGATTTCTTTATTAAGAAGCCATTTCAGAATTAGGATTAAAAAATTTCAATATTAAAATAACTGATGTTTACAACAACACATGTGTGTTTAATACGCTCACATTCTGCTATTGAACATCTTTTTTATTGTTTCTTTAATTTATACAATTTACACAAACAAAACGGTGAGATTCCGAGAGTTTTCCAAAAATAAAACGTTGTTTAAAAAAGGATTTCGGAGCTATTTTACAAAACATGTTGAATAGAAGATCAATTTTGAAAAAAACTATGTTTTGTTTTTTAAAAAAAAATCAGACACA